GCCTCTGTAATTGTTTAGGTCCAGAACCTCTATGTTGGTAGGCCTACCCCAGAAGACCAGGATATTGTCCCAGAACACTACAGGTGATTTAGAATTTGCTTTGCTTGGACTCAGTTTGTAAACTCATGGTTGGCTAGATAGAAAGTTTTGATTTCTGGTCACATTTTGACCACTGGACCCACATCCTTTATCACTAATTGTTGAGCTATCTTTCCTCCCTGAGTTTTTTTTTTTTTGGTTTTTTTTTTTTAGGCAATTGGGATTAAGTGACTTGCCCAGGGTCACACAGCTCGTGAGTGTCAAGTGTTTGGTCTGAGGCCGAATTTGAACTCAGGTCCTCCTGACTTCAGGGCTGGTGCTCTATCCACTACGCCACCTAGCTGCCCCCCCTCCCTGCGTTTAAAGATCAGAGGGGTCAGAGGGGTTCTGAAGGACAGTGGGGTCCATCACCCGGGAACCTGTTTCCCCACTAAAGCACATAAACCACACATCCCATTTTTCCCTCACTCTGACCAGGGGAAATTGCTAGCTATTTCCCAACTAGTTTGCAAGTCTTGCTGAATGCAGAGCCGAATACCAAAAGCACAGCTGCAACCAGACCCTCTGGGATGGTGCACTCAGTCCTGCCCTGGAATCAAGGAGAGGACTCAGCAACTCTGACCCCGAAGGGAAAGCAGAGCAGGACACTTTTCTGTTTTATGCAAAATGCAATTTGATAACCTCAAGCTACGGCCCTCCAGAGAACAGCAGAAACTTTACTCCTGAATTTTAAGAACTTTCAAATCCACCGTCAAAGAGCTTACTCTTAGCAAGGCTGATGAATAATTCAAGGCACTGGAGTTCTCCAGCGAGGTTTGGGCCCAGTTTGGGGAAGGGAAAATATGATGGGTTGCCATAGCAGCCGGTGTCTCCGTGGAAAAGTTTTCTGCTCTTCTGTCCCTTGCCATCCTCCTGGCATGGGTTCCACGTGGCTGATGTATGAGGGAAAGGGCTATGTCGCTCTTCAGCCAATGGGATGGTTGACATCTTAGCCAAAGTGGAGCTGGAGGAAGTTCTGAGTTGAGGAAAGAAGAAAAATGACTCTAGACAATTGACTATGTGGTATTTGCGTGGAAAGGGGAGGGAGCGGGGGGACTGAGGAACAAGGGTGATTGTTGCCAAAGGGAAGGAGACTGGGACAGCTGGTTGTGCTGGCTGTGAATCCCTTAGACTACTAACTCTACCGTGACTCAGGAGGAAGAGAAAAAACACCTTCTACCAGCCTGATGGTGGTGGCACCTGGTTTCTTAATGGGATTTTCAAATAAACATTCTCTTCCCTAGAGGCAAAATATTCTAATTTTCTGTTTCCAAGTGTCCCTCTCCTTGGGAATACTCATACTGATTAGTACCATCAGATTTGTTCAGTTCAAATCAACTCAAGGAACAAAACAAAAGTGTCTTCCCTCAAAGAGTTTACATTCTGCCTGAGGGATTCAGCCTGTGCAGAAGCAAATAAGCACAAAGGCTATACAAAGCAATTTAAAGAGGAGAGAATGAGAAAAGATCCAACTGAGGAAGTAGCACCTGAGCTGGGCTTTAAGTAAGCCATTCTCTGAGGTAGATGTGAGTAGGAGGGCATTCCCAGAACAGGAGGGAGAACGTGTGCCGAGGCACTGAGGTGGGAGAGTTGTCCTGAGTGGGGCGACAGCTGTTAGGGTTGTTTGACTGCAATAGCGACTGTGTATGTGAAAGGGGGTGATGATGTCTAGTTTACAGTACAGTGCCACTTGAAACCATCAGATCAGATCTTTTAGTTGTATGTGGAGCTAAATGGCTACATTTGCATATCAGTTTAGTTAGAAAAGATATTCATCTAACATCATTCAGATTTAGGTGTCCAAGTCCAGTTATATTTGTGTCAGTGCATCGTATCACATCAAGCAATAGTTATTGGAAAGCCCCGGAGCATATATGGCGCAATGTTGTATAAGATCAGCTTATTATCTCACAGAAGCGCTCAAAATAAAAAAAGTCCCTGTGAGGAGCCACTTTTTTGTCCTGAGTCTCAGTTTCCTCAGCTGTAAATGAAAGAATTGTACTAGATGTTTTCTAAGTTCTCTCTCAGCTCTAAATCGTGTTGATGCGGTCTAGAGGTTAGGGGTCCTGGCACCCCAAAATCACGATACCCGGGTCCTTCCCAAAAGAATTCAACCCAAGCTTTCCTGTAGCCAAAAACAAAGTTTATTGTAAATTTGCCACATTAGCTAGACTCTTAAGGAATCTGAGCCTCTATGGGCTATTGGCTAGATTGTAAAAATCTGAGCATCTTAATGGAGACAAGATGGACCTTATATACAGAAAGACTGTGGGGGGGATCTAGGGGTGGCCAAGTAGTTTGGGGTGACGGGAGGAAGAGCCTAAGGAGATCTGGATGGGAGTGGCTAGTAAACTGGGGTGAACAGAATTCCTGGGACCTGGACCTCAGTGGCCAAGGGAGAATGGAGCCTAGCTAGGATTGAGGGTAGGAAATGGCCAGGGGCCATAGGGAGGTAAAACAATGGAGAGGAGATTGGGTGTAGCCATAGTGAAAGGCCAGTTGATGGGATTATAGCCTCAGGGGAATGCCAGAGATTTGGCCATGTGGGAAAGTCCAGGGTTTTTCCTTTCTGGGGTCCAGATTCCAACCCCGTTAGTGTGAACCTCTAAACCTTTATATTCTAGTTTCTGCTCCACAGTCACTCAAACAAATGTTTTTTGTGCTTGTTTCTTTCCCCGAGTTCTTCTCTATGGAAAAATTCTCCTACCCAGCAAAACATAGAAAAGGATAAGAAGTGTGTGCATGTGTGTGTGGCCTGGGGTGGGGGGTGAAGGGGAAGAGAAGGTTTGGAGGATGTTAATGAAAATTCCAGAGTACATTTTATCTCTTCATGGGAAACCACGCCAGCAGCGTTATAGAATTTAGCCCGAGCTTTCTCACACGAGGAAGAAAAGCAGCTAAATCTGAGCCATGTTCAAGATGAGGGAGTGAGCGTTGATCTCATTATATCCCTCACTAATCCCCAACAACATTTCCCCAAATTCAAGGCAGGCCGGCAGCTGTGGATGTGTAAATCCCACTAATTGAGCCAACCCTTTCCAAGTGTTTTAGATTCATTCTCTGAGAGTGAGGGGCACTCACTTCCTGGCCACCAGGAAACCATGTGGGGCTTTATTCAGAAAAAAAGCAGTAATCTCCAAACTGTCCTGAGGGGTGGGAGTGGGAATTTCCCAAAACTTTGTCTCTCCCCAAACCTTGATATACAGTGATAGATGTGGATAAGGTATATACCATTGAGAAAGCATCTGGATTAAGGGACAGGGTGACTGAGAGGGGATTTGGGAAAGGTTTCCATCAATCTCAATTCACTACTCATTCTCTGTCTGAAATGCCTTTAAGTCCTTCATTGATTCATTTAATAAATATTTGAATATTTGCTACATTTAATGCTCTGTGGTAGACAGTAGAGAGGCATGGAAAGGGGGTGGGGACTAGACTATAAAAACATTCAATTCCATTCAATCCTCTGTGCATGTCTGTGTGTGTGTGTGTGTGTGTGTGCATGCATACCTGCATGTGTATGTATACACACACAAACACACACACACACACACACACACACCCTGCTGTGTTCAAATATTTTAGATACAAAGATTTTTTTTAAAAAGTGAGTTCTTTTCCCTAGGGAGTTTATAATTTAATGGGAGAAGACAGAACACAAATTTGATACATAGTAGAATGGGATAAGGACAAGAGTTGGTTTATACTGTGCGCTATGAGATATATGTAGAGGGACAAGTCACTTTCAGTTGGGGTAATCAAGGAAGGCTTCAGGAAGGAGTTGTATATGAGCTAAGGAAGTATGTGGGCAGCTAGATGTTGTAGTGGATAGAGTGTCAGGCCTGGAGTTGGAAGACTCATCTTCCTGATTTCAAATCTGGCCTCAGCCACTTATTAGCTGTGTGACCCTGGGCAAGTCACTTAACCCTGTTTGTCTCAGTTTCCTCATTAGTAAAATGAACTGGAGAAGAAGATGGCAAACAGCTCAGTATCTTTGCCAAGAAAACCCCAAAAAGGGTCATGAAGAGTCAGACACAAATAAACAACAGAGAGGTGTGCAAATTACTTGAGACAAGCAACAGTTTTGATGTGCTTTTGTGATAGCAATGGTCATATGTGTGTGCTTTTACTGACACAAGGGTAGAGCTCCTTAATCTTAAGTCTCAACTTTAAAAAATATTTAGTAACTGTATAATTTATTTGGTTTCCTTTGTAGTGCTATGATTTTGTTTTATGCATTTAAAAGCATTATTTTTAGAAGGAGTTCATAAGCTTCATTAGGCTGCCAAAGGGATTTGTGTCACACAAAAAAGGTTAAGAATTTGCACTAGGGTGACCCAGAACATCTTATTTACCAGATGAAACTAGATTGAGCTGGTTTCCCCACTTTTAGGTAATTTTTGTCATTTGAGGGTTGGATTTAGTGCCATACACATATGTTTAATTGTTGTGGTTTTAATTCTATTGTTTCTAAAAATTGGTTCCACTCCAATGAAATGGGCAGAAGTTACAGTAGCTCTTAAGGAGAACGTTTCAATGAATATTAGAGATATTGTAGCAGCTGTGGGGAAATGAAGCATTTCAAAGATCATTTAGGACCACAATAAAACAGGGTCAATAATCTTACTGAGTTGCAAAAAACAAAAACAAAAACCATTGATAAGAACTAAGGATTTATTGATGTAAAATAGCCTAATTCTCAGAAAGCAAGCACAGACATTCAGAGGCACCTAGATACTGGGTGGGGTTATTATTGATTCCTAAGAATAAAGAGAACAGGGGAGAAAATAGCTGCTAACAGTTGTCATGAAGGTAAAAAAAAAGTTTGTCATGCACAAGATAATACAAAGAGTGGAGTACTAAAGATTGGAAAAGGCATTTTTTTTTTTTTTACTGATAGAACTCACTGTTTTCTTTTAAAGCTATTCCTCAAACCATCATCAGAAGTCCAAGTGAGCCTGTAAGATTTGCCCATTTTCATCAGACTGCAAAACATCTACCTCCAAAGATGTTTGAGATTTTCCAGTGGGACTAAAAGCTTTGAGGCAATGATGGACTCCGATAAATATATTGATGTACTCAGAAGCAAATAGTCATCCTAGAATTACAGACATCGGCAAATGGGAATGCAATATGATAACATAACCTTGTCCCATGTTATATGTCATGAAAAGTTAATAAATGTTTTCTAAGATACAGTGACAAATACATTTTGAGAATTCTCTTGGATTAAATCTAATTGAAAACCTTTAAGCTGTAATCTAGGCTATATTTGGACAAATGGATTGTGTGTCAAAGGTATGCTTAATATCTAATGTGATAAAAGTGTGGTTTGATGATCAAAGATCAAGTCAACATTTTGTGAGCTCTTTGTTAAATCTTGTAAAACAAGCGTTTGTAGCAATGGAGGACATTGCACATTAAAATTTTTTGATGACAGAAAATGTTGTAAGGTTTATTGTATGTTGATTACTTTGTCCTAAGCAATTCATACACTTCTGTAGGCCTTGAGAGAGGGGATAGGTAGGATTTGGGGAGGTAATGATAAGAGGGAGGGAATTGTTGAACAAAGGGCCCCCAAGTCATAGTTTATCTCTTCTCGAATATCCAATTTTCACTTGAAGCACAAAAGCTAAAACTGGCTTGCTTTTCTAACCTCTCCAGTTGTTTATCACCAACACTTGATATCATCTTCACTTTTTTTCTCTCCTTGTCTAATCACTTACTAAAGCCTATGATTTTTTCCTTTGTAATGTCTTTTGGATCTGTTTCTTCTTCCCCTTTCCTACTGCTACTACCCTTGTCCTAGACCTCTTCTCATACCTGAATTACTAGTTTCCCAGTTAGCTTCCCTGACTAGTTCCTTCTTTTGCCTTTCTCCTATATATCCTTTTACCACTACTAGATAATCTTCCTAAATCACCAATATCAGCATGTCACTCAACCTTAAGAATTTCTAAGATCTTGGGGCAGTTAGGTGGCACAGTGGATAGAGCACTGGCTCTGGAGTCAGGAGAACCTGAATTCAAATCCAGCCTCTGACTCTTACTAGTTGTGTGACCCTGGGCGAGTCACTTAACCCCAACTGATGGGGTCATCATGGACCTCCCTATGACCCCAGGCCATTTCTCCATTCTCCCTTGGCCATGTGGTCCAGGTCTCTGGAATTCTATTACCTCATAGACTACTTGGCCACTCCTAAATCCCTCCCATAGTCTTTCTGTATATAAGGTCCATCTTGTCTCCATTAAGATGCTGAGATTCTTAAAATGTAGCCACTGCTGAGATTCTTAAAATCTAGCCACTGCTCAGATTCCTAATATCTAGCCACTGCTTACCCATGTTCAGACTCCTTTAGAGTCTGCCCAGTATGACGGATGTTCTAATAAACCTTGTCTTTGGCTGAAAGAAGGCTTGGGTCAAATTCTTTCAGGCAGGACCCTCGTGTTGTGATTTTGGGATCCCAGCACCCCAGCACCCTTAAACCTCATCATTTTGGTGGCCCATACGGGGAAACTGCCTAACCCCAAGTTCTTCTCCAGCCAAGACTGGAAGGTATGTAAGCCTCCCTACCTCCTTTCTTGCTCTGCAGTTAGGGTCACTCTCCAAACATCAAGGCTTGGAGGTGCTTTTCGGGCAGACAGTTAGGAGGCTATCTAGCACTGGGCCTGACGTTCTCAAGGCTCTGGGTCCACTGGGTCAGTTCAAGGCCATGGACCTGGGTACACCTTCCGCAGCATAGAGGACAAGGACCAATGCCCTATCCAGAAGTGTATCTGTTAATTCCCCCAGCCCTAGGGAATTGGGGAGAAACTGTAGTTGCTTTTTGGTTCCCTGAGGCTTACTTACTCCCTGCCCTCTGCACCTCTGAATCCTCCTTCATGGAGGTTACAGGGAAAGTCAGAATAGCTAAAAATATCTTGGCAGATTTTGGAGGTTTTGTGATTGATCATTAAAGAGTTTAGAACTTCTTACAACCCTGGTCACTCTTTTCTCCCACTCCCTTCACTTGAGTCAAGAGGATATCTGTTAACCCCTCTCATAGGAGAGGAGAGTTTCACCCTTTACCCCTCACTTTTGATTTTGCCCTCCCCCACCTGGGGAAAAGGAAGGAGGGGGGAGGGGCAGCAGCTACAGCTTGGGCCCCATTGGCAATGACCTTGGGCTCTGGGGCAACCTTTGCCTGGAAGCATCACCCAGGTTCAGCACATCCTGCTCAAGGTAAAGAAGCTGGCTTTTGAACTTGGGTAAGCATGATCTTTTAAATTTGTAGTTTTAACTGTTAACAATGAGATGTTGATTCTCTGTGTAAAGTAATTTAGAAGTGCATTTAACAAAACTGAAGTCACCTGATTGGTAATGAGTTTGTTTCAAGTTTCAAATTGGTGAACTTTCTGTATCAGTTATGTCAAGCAACTTTTCATAATTTGGTTATCACTAAAATAATTTAGCTATTGTTGGTTATTGTTTTAATGTGTAAACTAGCCTAAAAGTTTGTTTGGGTTATGTATGGCTTGCTAAGAATTTGCAACTATATAAAAGTCTCTAAAGATTGGCTTTTTACACCAGGACAAATTTAAGTTTGAGATGTAAATCCTGGAAAAGTTTTTCCTAAGCTGTGATTAGTAAAACTTGCTGTTTGAGGTAAAAGCTCATAGGATTTTATTTTGAGTTGTCTGATGGGTCATAATCCATCGATAATCAATAATCTGAGAGAAATGCCACAAGCTACTCAGAGAAGGTGGTACTGGTGGGAAGTCAGCATTGGGAAAAGCTGAGAGGACAATTTTAGCCTCAGTCTAAGATGGGATCCTCCAGGCTCAGTTTCCCCCTTATGTTCCTTTGAAGAGAAATGTTACCCACCTGGCTATTCCTGAGTCTGGCTATGAGGTAGATTTGATACTGCATGGTTGGAAAACTGAATTCTCTGAATTCAAATAGAGCTAAGGATGTTTTATTCTCTCATTTGGGCCCTAAATCAAGTTCCTGTTTTATATCTGGGCCCTGCAGTATTTTCTGTCTTCCAGACTATGGGCCATTCACCTATAGTTGGTAGCAAACAGCGAGTACCAGCCAATGTCACCACATCGTTCCCTGGATGCAGCCTGTGTTCAGTTCCAGTCAACTTCCTCTTTGGGACCCCCTCGAGCCAGGGACAGCTCTATGCCCTTGCCAGCAGGAAGCAGTTTTAGAAGATGAGACCTTTGCCCCTTACTCCAAAAGAATTTGGGTCCCATTTGTTTGAGGGGGGAATGATGGGGTCAGAATCTGGGCCCCAGAAAGGAAAAACCCAGGACTTTCCCACATGGCCAAATCTCTGGCTTTCGCATGAGGCTATAATCCCATCAACTGGCCTTTCATTGTGACTATACCCAATCTCCCCTTCATTGTCTTGCCTCCCTATGGCCCCAGGCCATAGGGATCTTCACAATAATGCTTTGAAGTGAGTAGGACAATTATTATTAGTCCTGTCTTACATAGGACATAGGCCCACCCTTGGTAACTCTATTACCTCATGGACTACTTGTCCTCTCCTAGATCCCTCCCATAGTCTTTCTGTATATAAGGTCCATCTTGTCTCCATTAAGATGCTCTGATTTCTAAAATCTAGCCACTGCTTTGATTCTTAAAATCTAGTCACTGCTTAGATTTTTATAATCTAGCCACTGCTTACTCATGTTCAGACTCTTAGAGTCTGCCCAATATGACGGATGTTCTAATAAACCTTGTCTTTGGCTGAAAGAAGATTTGGGTTGAATTCTGTCAGGCAGGACCCATGTGTTGTGATTTTGAGGTCCCAGCACCCCAGCACCCCTAAACCGCATCACAACTGCCTCCAAAAAAGAAAAAAAAAGTATTTATAAGATCTCTCTATTGTTTCTCAGTCCTCTATTAAAATGAAGGATGAACAACAATAACAATTGTTTATTGGATTAAATCCAAACTCTTCATCCCAGCATTTAACACTTTCTCAATCCCACCCCCAACCTATTCAATTTAGAGATTATTACACCCCAGTGAACCCCACCTCTGCTCAGAGTTGGACTAGTCTTCCAACTGTCCAAAAAGACTATAAACAATTCTATCTCCACACACCTTTGCTAATGCTTTCCTCCCACTTGAAGTGCCTTCTCCCTCCCTTTTTCATCAATTCAAATCATATCATTCCTTTAATACCTTCCTCAAGAGCCACTTTCTATTACTTTTTCTGTCCAAAAGGAGGGGTGCTGGGCCAGATGATCTCTTGAGATTCCTTAGAACATGAGGATCTCTCAGTCTCTTCCATTAATTCTCCCCTTCTTAAACCTCATCTATAATGATCTTTCCCTACTCTCAATTGCACTATGATTCAGAAATGCACAGTTTAGCACTTTCTCATATCTTACCTTATACTGTCAGTGGTATGAACAATAATGATGATGATGTTCTTAATAACTTACATTTGTATCATGCTTGATAGTCATAGAGTGCTTTCTTATACATCATCTCATTGCTCTTCACAATAATGCTTTGAAGTGAGTAGGACAATTATTATTAGTCCTGTCTTACATAGGACATAGGGGCAACTAGATGGCACAGTGAACAGAGTGCTGGGCCTGGAGTCAGGAAGACTCATCTTCATGAGTTCAAATCTGGCCTCAGACACTTACTAACTGCTGTGTCATCCTGGGAAAATCACTTAACCCTGTTTGCCTCAGTTTCCTCAACTATGAAATAAACTGGAGAAAGAGATGGCAAACCATTCTAGTATCTTTGCCACTAAAATCCCAAATGAGGTCACCAAAGAGTTGGACATGACTGAAATGACTGAACAACAATGCATATGAGATAATGGAGGAGCTTCAGAGAAAATTCTAATCATCCTGAACTTATCCAAGGCTGCACAATCAGTAAGGGAACATAGGTAGGGCAAGAACCCAGATCTTCAATTACAAGTTTTGTGTTCTCTCAACTATACTGCTTCAGTTGCTAAATCCTCATGAACCTTGCCTCCCCCACTATAGTGCAATATCCTTAAGGGAAGTAATGATATGTTTTCATTCTTTTGTATCACACCATAGTACCCAGTGTACTGCAAAGTACATAGTAAATCCCTAATAAATGCCATCATTCAACTATTTGACTGGAGGGTTTACATTGAATGAGTTGCATTCCCTTCTATGAGCACTTGTTGAGTAAGCAACACTGCTTTTCCTTCTCCTCTCCCACCACAAGGTTGTACACTCCTGACCTCTCCCCTCTCAAATGTCAAAGCATTGGTGAGACAGATAATGTCACTCATCTGATGGTTGATGCAGGGATCTGTCTAATCCAATGTCTCTTCTTTACCATCTCCTTTCTTTTCTTTCAGGAGCACATGTTGTTATTGTTTTTTTGTTCTTCATTTTCAAAGAGGACCAATGACATCACAGAATGATGTCT